GGTAAAACATGGTCTCTGCGGTAGTGCCAGGCTTTGTGCTATGTATAGGCTCTGATTCCACTGCCTCCCTACAGTGAAATGAGATACTGTCGTCTAAACCAAGTCTTATCTTGTATTTCTTATGATGGGTCAGTCAGCATAATTGTTAGACATTCAAATCACCGCTGCAGCAGGCAGAGATTAAGAGACCGCAAATACACATCTGTTATAGGAGAAAAGAAACCATAACCGAAGTGTGCCATTTATTTTAAATAGACTCCGTTTCTGGGTCCCGGGGTCCCACATGCTTGTGTGTGTTGGGAGGGGGTAGATTATACCCACTGCATCTTAACATGCAAGTCGTAAAAGGCGACTAATTAGGGATACACCTTTCGAATTTGAAATGCATCCGCCTAAGGGGCGAGGAACCAACACTTTGACGCAAGAAGTCAACTCTGTAAAACGGGTCAGCATACACAATTCAAGTTCTGAAACACGACAGCTCCGGAAGTTCACGATCAACCCATTCATTTTAAGGGCGTTGAACAAAGCAGATGTGAAATCGGTAAATAGTTTACACTAACGCACACAATCACAATATTGATGTTTATCTGTGTACTGTTATAAGAATGTATCGACTGGCAAAAAACGGGGAGGGGGAGGTGTGGGGGATGGGGGCAAAGAAAGCGTAATTTACTATCAGGTTACTTCAATTTATGAGTAGAGAAATAACCGAAACGCCCACGGCGGGAGTGAATTGCAAGACATTTTGTGATAAAGTTGGGTAACTACTATACATTAGAAACAAAATGCATTCAAACTCGCCCAACTCCACTGGGAATCTAACAGCTCAAGGAAGTTTAGACGTAGATGATTGAGACGCTATTACAATCGAAATGTTTAAGGAGTTAAGTTGCGTGAATTATCCATCCACATGTAAAGGTCAAAAGTATACTGCAATTGAATTCATTACATTTACGAATAAACTGTCATGTTTTGAGACAAATAATGTTAGCATAATATCATCTGATGGCATATTTTACTTGTATATATAAGAACCTATATTGTAGCTTTGTGAAAGCCCTATAGAACGCACTTATTACAGACACGACTTAGGTAGTACATTCTTCATATAAAATATATATATATGTGTCCGCTAAACAGATGCACATATACATACACATATGCATATACATATGCATATACATATACATATGTGTATGTATATAGTTGTACTGTGGCTGTTCCCATTTCTTTATTTCCTTTTGATCCCTTACGAATTACAATTGTAGTTACACACTTCAGGATTTTAGCTGAGATCTACATTATTATACATAAGTGCCTGTGATAGAGATTGTCCATATGGCTGTGCCAAATATCCAGTAGTCCGCTACCTGCTTTTCTACGTGTAACACACATGCCGTCTAATCCGTATTTTTGAATTTGGCTAAAGAGTACTAACAAAATCTAGCTAGATAAATGAGAATGTCAGCTACAAAACTTGTTTGTTTGTAAATTTATGTATGTGAATGTGTAAATATGTTTATGTAGGAAACCATGTCAGGACCGAAATATTTAAAACACACGGTTTTTGTAGTACAGTTAAACTTGTATTATGTTATCACAGTCGACGTAACTGCACATTGGGCATTCAATTCAGGCTCAGTCTTTCGATGCAGCAGCCACTTCAAGGTATCTCTACTTATTCTTCCCATGCGAAATTGGTTATAGCGTCTCCTGTCTTGACCTTGAAGGCGACATAGACTTGTTTTACCAATCTTTACACTGAGGTAACGCAGTCCTGTTATTAGTTAGATTATCTTCACAACACTCCGGACACATTCATAGGCGCTCAGATTCCCTTCTCAGCATATTCATTAGCGTCGTGCGGTTAACAGTACCAGTACTATGTTGGTTAACAAGACTTCGTGTGCGTCCAATAAGAGACTGGGCACTCGTGCACGAAACTCCGTAGCACGGCCCAGTGATTCCCCAATATACACCAGTCTTGTGTGACACAGCGTTGATAATATCACCTCGTGTCATACTTCTTCCCGTGTGCATTGATGCATTACTTGCCAGGTGGTCGACTCTTTTCTTCTGCATGTTCAGGTGTAAAGATCTACGTGATGGAGACTAACTGCGACTTCCAAAACGATATCTACCCATTCAGAGCGTAAACAATATGTTGCAATTTTATGAAGCATGGTCATTGAATCTTAAACAATTAAAAAGTGTGTGACATATTTTCTGCTACCCATACGAGTGCTTCTGAAGCAGCAGTCATCTCGATGGTCATTCATGACTTAGTTGCCGGGCAAGCGGTGAATCCTCTGGTATTCCTTTCCCCATTATGTGTGTACTGTATGCCCATGTAGACATTCACTGTCGTTTGAAGGACCCATATATGTAAATGACGATGTCTCCTGGACGTAAATGCTTAAAAATATATACATATTTCGGTATCTGTCTGATCCTGTAGTACCTCATTAGTGATGTCAATCTTAAACATGTCTGGCATGTTTACTGGTGTACCCACACATTTTTTTTCCGTGACTGATCTCGTCTAGGTCACATACTCTCTGGATTAGGTTTTCAACCTTTGCAGTTCCGATTCCGGTTCCCTTTAAGACAAAAATCAAAAGGTCGACCACTTTCAGACTGCTGCTAGCTAGCCGAGGCTGCTAACAGTCTTCGCCTATATTTATGGTCTGGGTTATTTGTGTCACTTTCGTGACTAAATCCTAGTCTTTGCGCCGTCTCTGGTATTAATGCTTCCTTTCGAGTCATACCGCTCGTCCTCTACCCTGTTGTTAGCTGTGCACGTCTTTCCTCTTCTTACTTGGTGTTTTCTCTTTGTTTTGTCTCCCTCTGATTTGGCCAGGCGTATTTCGTAGGAGAGAGCGCTTTTCTGCATAACGTTCTTTGGACCACCATTTACACCATAATTGCTGTCAGGCCTTTGCCGTTCAGGAACAGCCTCTTTTAAGATGCATCCCCTTCATAACATTGACAGGTGGTTGGTTGATGTCTGCTGATACTCTCATGTGCGCCTTCACTTGTGCCACTTTATGCCAGGTGGCCACCATCAGTAAGGACATCCCATATAATATGGAGTGGCACGACGTGTATTTTGTGCAACCGAGTCTATTTGCCTTATTTTGCACCCGGTCCAGTCTTTCTAGCTGGGTTCTGTTGAAAGTGAGGAGCCTCAGATATTAGTTTATAACCTTTAATACAAGTTTCTGATAAAGAAGGAAAAGTGAACATTGTTCAATATCCGCCAATCCTATCACCTTCCGTACCGCTAGCCGTTTCCTGGCTCTAACTATGATACTGCCTAAATGATGCTTGTGGTAAAATACAGTTGCTGCAATGCACCAAGTATATCTCTGCCAGGGCGGTACCTAACTAGTGTATGTGCCAAAGGACCACTTGAATGTTGGTGTCAACGCTCTGGCTACGATTTCAACGAGCTTTCCTTCGGTGTTCAGGAGTTTAAGGATTCTGTTCCATTTATTTTTGCTTGATCTTTAACATATAAACAAGATAAGGAATGTTAAGTAATTTCTGTTTGGACGCATTACTCGTATATTATGTCAATTTTGTTTGTCACAGGGCATGACGGATCGTATTGTGTAAACGATGAGTTGTCGCTTTATTTAAAAACCCTAAAACAACAGCTGCAGTTAACTCGTTCGGTGCACGACAACTCACAGTACGTCTCTCGAACATTCTAGTCATAAAATGATGTTATTGCTTCATCTACAGACATACTTTATACCTGACTTGTAAATGAGAACTGTTAAGTTAACTACTTCTGTTTGAGATTGTGTCAGTTGAACTCTTGTAGACAGATGTTTTTATTTCATTCACGGATTACTCTTTGTCAAAGATGGAGCTCAATGTGTTTTGCGTGTGAAAGAGGTAATTAAACCAGCTAATTAAAAGAAAACACTATTTTCAACAAAGATAGAATGTCGACTGAGGATGCTGAAAGCTCAAACAATCAAGTTACAAGCAGCAAAGGACATGAAATATTCGTAACAATTAATTTTATCTGTCTTGGCGGAATCACAAGCGTGTTTGGAATTGTCACAAATATCATCAACATGATCGTATTCTACAGACAAGGGTTCAGAAGCACAACAAACATCAGTTTTTTTGCCATGTCTGTGTCTGATCTGTGCAGTTTAGTATTCCAACTAGTGTTTAATATATATTTCCAACCTCTATGCAAAGACATATGTATGGTTGTTGCGTATCTAGATTTTCAAATCTTGACTGGAGGGATCCCACACGCCATATTCGCCAGAATAACTTGTTTTATAACAGTTTATGTGACAGCAGAGAGATACTTGTGTGTGGTGTTTCCACTACATATCAAGCAAATGATTACTAGAAAGAGAACGGCGGTAGCAATGATATTCATATATTGTTTTGCATTACTCTGTGGGTTACCAGTGTACGTAATTAATCAAGTTGGTTTGAAATTTTATCCAGGTGCAAACATTAGTCTTCTAGCCATAGTACCATTGCAAGGACACGAAGTTTTAAATGCAACTGAATATTTCATGCACACTGTTTCAGGATTGGTGTCTTTCCTAGCGGTCGTTGTGTTGACTTCTTTCCTAATGATTACATTGAACAAGAAAAGTAAATGGCGTAAAACAGCAAATGCACTAGAAGAAAAATCAGGTGCAATATCAACTAAAGATAGAAAAGCTATAATGATAGTTGTCCTCGTTGCTAGCGTTTTAATCATATGCTACACCCCGGCCACAATCCTGACCATAATTATGGGGCTGGAGCCCGAATTCAGCATGACTGGAAAATATAACAATCTCTATTTCATCTCCTGGTCGTTCGTATTTCTCTTGGAGAACATCAACGCCAGTGTTAATATTTTCTTATACCTGAAAATGAATACAAAATTCCGACGGGAGTTTCAAGTGCTGTTTTGTAGTTGCATCAGAGGGAATCAAGGCAATACAGCAATGTATATCAAATATGAACAATAACTTTTCGTCTGCGCTATTAATCATTGAAATGACTGTCTTGCCATGTCGCTGATTGCCTGAACAAATTTGAATAACATTCTTTATTAAAGTAGAAGAAGATAAAGCTGTATAAAGAAAATGGTGTGCTATTTCAGGGGCTTCCAAAGTTAGCGATACTTCACATTGCTGGTACACGAATGATCCAGAGGATTACTGGCTGTTTCGATGCAATTTGGGAAACGATGGACCTTCCAGGTGGGCTGTAGCAGCCAAAGGATAAGTAGGGAAAATGAATAGAAATAATAAAGTGGAAGAGAGAGAGAGAGAGAGAGAGAGATGAAAAAAAAACTGTTTTGTTGAACAATTCGTATCTGTGTCAATGCTTTATAAGAGATTAAGCTCAAAGTCATGAGATTATTAACAAATGAAGAAAGACATTATAAGTTATTTCCAATCAAGGAGGTCTGTTCAATAACTTTGGTTTAAGTAATATCCTTCGTGTTTGTTTTAATATTACTTTTTCTGTCATGTTCTACAGCATGTGGTAGCATGGCAGAACACGTTATTTCTTCAAGCAATAGTTACTCTCAACATCTATTCTTCGAAAAGAAACTTTTTGTAATAACAAATTTTTGATTTTAAAATAGACTACATCTTCGTAAAATAAGTAAACTTAAAAGATGGAGACTGTTTAGGTGTTCATAGAAAACAAATCAATAGCCTCCTGTCTACTTCAGAAGTCTGTGGAGAAAGTAAAGAAACTAGCAAAGAACTGGGGTCTATAACAAAAGTAAACCAAATTAAAAGCTACATTCTATTATATCTCCTCTTACAAAGAAAGAATATAATGTTAGAAAAACAATTACACGCAGATACATCTACTATTCCTATATTTATCCTAATCACATAGAAACCAAGCACAAGGGGGTCACAATAATTGCTATTAAAGCCATACACAAACATGATAGAACATACTGTGGGGCTAATCTAAAACAAATATATATATATATATATATATATATATATATATATATATATATATATATATATAAAGACAAGTCTACACTGAAGCAGTTAGGTCTGCTAAGGAATACTCTACATGTACTCAAACTTTAAGGATACCCATATAATTAGTTGCATCTTATAAAATACATGTTGATAGGACAATGACTCTTTTCTTTTTACTCACAATCTGGCCCTGGAAGGCACGCTGAGATTCCCAGCACACTGAAATGCAGACCACGACATGTTGTGAGAAGTATAGACGTCTATAGGTATACTGGCCACATCAAAAATATATTGGCCTATAATAGGGCACAAACCTAACTATAGGGACCACATTAACGTAGTGGCTAGACGCGCATCTGCAGGCCCATATGTCCTCCGTTCGAATTAACATCGAATCATATTTTTTTATATTTTTTTTATACCGAGTTAACCACGGATTTCAGGTCAACATAGCCCAGGGTACGGTATCAAGTAAATATAGACTCCTGGTTTAATCAAAAGTAAGTAAACATAAAGGTTCCTTTTCCACGATTTTAGGCGTTCTGTGAATATAGGGCTAGACCTACATATTTTTTACCAGTCGGCACTTGATGGGTTATGTGGTCAGCATCAGGTCAGCCGCCTTTACTTACCAGGCTGCACCTGGTACCCACTAACGGCTGTGTCGATCTGGGAGTCTAGGTCATTTTTGTAAAAAAAAAAAAAAGTGTCTCTCCAAATGGACACGAACACACGACCTTCCGATCCACAGTCGGGCGACTAGCCGCTAACGCCACGGCGACTCCCCAAAAGTAAAGATCCCTTTTCACGCCTTTAGACGCATCTGGCATAAGGGAAGAGCACCCATATTTTTACAGACCAATCGGCAGTAGGTGGGTAATGTGGTCAGCATTACGCGGGCCGTCTTTACTTTTCCAGGACATACATCCTGGTACCCATTTTAGATTTGGTCGACCTGCCACACCCCTTAGGATGATAACAATCCACATAGCCAGCAGTGGGTTTCGATTGCGGTATGTTGGAATTAGAGTCGGATTCGCTACGCCTACGAATGGACGCCGCAACATGTTGTTTTTAGTCAAAAAAATAATGAGTCTTCCATCTTGCGCTTCTGGCGTAAAAAAGGGGGAGAGGAAGGTGCGGGGGTGGGTGGGGTGGGCTCTTTTTCAATTCCTTATGTATCTATCATAATGCAAATTAATAAAAGTAGCCATAGTTCGGCACTAGGACAAACGAATTGCCTGCTCATCGTTGAGTTTAACTAAAACTTGGACACAAATCAAGACATGTGGGTATTTTGGTGAGAAAAGCGAGAAACAGAACCCTGAATCTTCCTTGAAATCCGCAATGCAACAATTGAAAAATTAAAAGCGATCTAGGAAATGACGCTATTTTGGTACAACTCTGCAATATTTAATGGTGCATGGTAATTTTCCTGTTTTCTTGGATGAAAGAGTGAACCAATGACGAATTTATTTTCGAACAGTTAGGAACTGTATGCACGGCCAGTCTAACACACCGCTCTTTTCTCCTAACTACTTACATCATCATCATCAGGTGCCCTGCCGACTGGCGTGGGCGATCATGCCTCTCCATAATCTGCGATCTATTGCAGCATGTATGAGTTCGTGTGCTGACACACCTCCATGCCATGCAACAAGACTGTCAAGCATCTTATCTCGTTGTCTTCCTCTATGCCTCTTTCTACAGATCTTTCCAGTGGTCACATGTTCTATTTTCCCTCTTCTCATAACATGAACGAAAAATGATGACTGTCTCCTTCTGATGTCTGCTATTTTGAGTCATGATTAACTAGGGATAGTACAGCAGTGGTTTCCCCTTGCCTTCCGCCGGTTTGTGTATGGTTTGACTCCAATAGCCTTTGTCTAAAGAGACTTACCCTGCAAGGCAGCAGGGGTGAGAGGTTATGGCGCCTCTTACCCACCGATGGCCATGTCGTAGAGTTTTGAGGTATTTGATAGAGTTAGCTGTCCCACCAACTAACTCTCCTCCTCTCAATGACCATCACCTGTTTTGGTCCACGACCACTTATTCAATATATTCGTGGCTAACCTCTATATCTAGAGGCCTTTCCACCATCCGCCACCTGGTGGACGCGCCTAGTAGTAGGACAGGCTCCTACCCCAGGTAACTACTTACATGCATATTATTTCATTCATAAATAATTTCATAGGTAATAATGACCATTAACAATTGCATTCAAAGCCCTTTTTTCAAAGCCTGGACTGTGCCCTAAATGTAGTTACAATTGTAAACAACACTGATCCTTTGTAGCAGTCATACATCTATTCTAAAAAATAAAAAATAAAAAAATTTGGGGTTGGAGGAAAAAGCTTAGAAAACAGAATTATACATACCATTTTTACAAGTGATTGACTGAGACTGTTGTAATATTAGCATGTTCGATCATGATCCATTGTTGTAATCTTAGCATTGTCTGCCATGATTCAGGTGTCGTGACCTTAGTATGGTCGGTCATGATCCAGTGTTGTAATCTTAGCAATGTCTGTCATGATTCAGGTGTCGTAATCTTAGTATAGTCGGTCATGATCCAGTCTTGTAATGTTAGCATGGTTCGTCATGATGCAGTGTGTTAATCTTAGCATGGTTGGTCATACATTCAGATGTTGTAATATTAGATGGGTCGGTCATACATTCAAATGTTGTAATCTTAGCTGGGTCGGTAATACCTTTAGATGGTATAATCTTATGCATGGTCGTTCACACATACAGGTTTTGTAATCTTAGCATCGTTGATCAAACAAACAGGTGTTGTAATTTTAGGCATGGTCGGTCATACATTTAGGTGTCGTAATCTTATCATGGTCGGTCATACATTTAGGTGTTGTAATCTTATCATGGTCGGTCATACATTAAGGTGTTGTAATCTTTTACGGTCGGTCAGACATACGGGTAGTAGCTCTGAGGAAAAAACCAAAAACAATGGAAGAAAGGAAGACATAGGATATATTTATACCGACTTTAGAATACCAGTGTCAGACTTGGACATTGACAAAAGAACGCGAAAGAAAACTAACCATCTGTGAGATGAGATGTGTGAGAAAGAAAGGCTGTGAATAAAACCAGAAGAGATCAAGTGAGAAACGACGTGATCACAAGAACTGTTAGATCAACACCTATTGTCAAATTTATTGCGAAAGAAAGAATGAAATGGGTTGGCCATCTAATGATAATGAAATCAACGATGCCAGCAGCAAGAGCGTACAACCTAAAAATTGAAATATCAATAAACAGGGGAAGACCTAGAAGAAATGGATTGAAGGAGTCACTGACATTTTGAGACTGGATAACATCACGGCCCTTTCTAGGCTGCCGATCGTCAGATGAATTGCGACGCCTAGCGGCATGAGCAGATATTGACAAAAGAAAAAAAGAAGCAGGAAGGAAGACAAAGTGTCCATTCCTACCAGCACTTCTTGCTTGCCACAGAATTGCAGGTCACACCATGCAGTGGTTACAGGTGCCTCATTTAACCCTTCCTTCAGGGTTGAATACAATTATGAGATTTGTCTGATTTGCTTGAAAGCCAGAATATCTTTTTAAATTTTTAAACGTGCGTATGAGTACCTTAAGGAAAAAAAACATTTAGACGGGACGGACACAGTCTGAAACTGATATCAAGAAATATGCTGGGATGCAAAGTTAGCCGGCGTAATGTTGAGCACTTACCTGTGGAGTGTCTGATTGCTCTAACTAGAAGATTGGTCAGCCAAACTGCCTTTTGTGTAGTCAGTAAGAATTAGGTTTTGGTATAAATAATAAGAGAACCTGTAAAAATCATGCATTAAAATTAATATACTGAACACATAAATACATATTAAGGTTACTGTATTTGCTAACATAGCAAGACTGCGTGGCCACGCCATGAGCATCAGTCTTGACTGCTTAACTAAACTTCAACTGGAACAATGAGACAGATGCTACGTAGATCAGCGACTTGTAAAGCGAAGTAGCAGAGTGTGTCACGCACG